AAAAATGATTGTACGGCTACTTATTGTAGACTTAGTTTCTTATTGTGAACTACTTAATTAAATTCAGATCTTATTTTCAAATTGTTTATAAGTTGTCAGTGAATCGTTAATACCTACGTTCAATTTTACCCAATACCGTAAGTGATAGGAGGTTCAGAGGCTAAAGACTTTGCACACCTTGAAATAAAATTCAGGTCCTCAATATTCTCAGTATTTACCAAACTAACCTAGTTTTCGCGTCTAAATGACCAAATTAATTTATTTATTCGCGTCTAAATGTTCAATTTAATTTTTATTTTTTGCGTTTAAGTGGGCTTGGCGTCAAAGTGGCAAAATCGATTTATTCCCTATGCAGTTGTTTTTACGTTTTTATATACTTAAGTATTTCTTAGTTGTTTGGATTTTTAATTTTAATTTTCTTATTTTTTTTTTAGACTAAAATAATCTTAAAATTAAATTTACAATAATTTATTTTGCTGTTATTTCAGGTTCTTTTTTATGTTTTAATTAAATTAATACACAGATACACATCTAGGCTAAAATAATCTTAAAATTAAATTTACAATAATTTATTTTGCTGTTATTTCAGACTTGCATGCCTGGTGTTAAACGTAACGCAGTTCACTTCTCACCAGTGCAATTTGACAATTAACTTAGTTATGTATCTGTGTTATATAAATATCCGTTTCCTTATGATTATTTTTGTTGACTCCAGTTAATTTATTATTATTGACCAAATATATATATTTTATTAAGACAATGATGTAAGTGTCCATCCCTTTCATTGTCATTTTTATTCTTGAATAAAATTAAAATTAAATACAAATGTAAATAAAATAAATTTAATCGAAGAAAAATCCAGTATTTTAAATTTTCTTTAATTCGATCACAAAATTTAGTATTTTTAGTTAACTTGAAAATTTTTTTAGGTTAATTAATTTATACATATAGTTAAAGAAATTATGAATAATATTCTAATATTTTTATTCCTTCTATATATTCCAATATCCGTCTATTGCCAACAACAATGCCATACTTTGACTCCAATTTATAATATTTGTAAATTTATTTGTGATGTTTGTTCAGATGAAGATAATACACGAAACTGTCTTGCAGTTAAAGGAATCTGTTATAATTTCTATAAATGTTCTTGTGATATATTTAAATAATTAATTTACATATTAATGAAGTTTTTAATAAATATATGTAAAGATAAATTGAAATATTAAGAGAATTCGCAAATATTTTATCTATCATTTACTTGTTCATTTTTTGAAATAGTTTTAAATAAATTTCCCAGTTAAAATAAAATTAATTTTGATGCTCTATTTATGTCCATAAAGGTTAGCCAAAAATTGTGACCGCAATAAAAGACGCGCGGAATCACAATTTGTCGTTTACACATCTGTAGGACAGACTTAATTAATTGAAGAGAAATATGTTTTTGGAAATTAATGTTTGTTTTATTATCGCAAAACTTTGCGATTCGCCCATGTTAGCATCAAATTATATTTAAAAATTTCATTTACACTATAATTATACATATTTATTTCACAAAGTTATCTTTTCTATAGATATACAATGTGATTATTAACGAAAAATTTTCTTGTAATTAAATCATAATTAAATATTTTAGATATTCAACTTCAACTTCCATCATATTAAAACTCCACATTTTATATAATATCATTATTCTTTCCTTCAATTTGTTCAGATTCATTATTTTTCATGTTCAGATTCATCAAATTTTCAATTATCAAAGCTTCTCTAATTGCATTTTCAACACTTTTCTCAATTTTAACTTCGTTATATTCTTTTATAACTTTTGAAGCTATTTCGATTGTATTTATTTTGCAGAATTTACATACTTTATCAATATATTTTTGCTCACTGACTGAGGATTCTAAAACAGTAATTATAATTATGCTTATTTATTATATTTTCCTTTTTCGCGAAAGGCGAAACACGAAACTGGCACACTAGTGTCACACAGGGGTATGAAAAGTGTTGCGCAAAAAAACAAAAAATCAAACACACACCCCCTTTCATACATGTTGTAATATGATAAGAAACAAAATAGGTATATAGAAAAACACAAACCATACATGTTTCTATATCTGATTTAAAAAATGATTGTACGGCTACTTATTGTAGACTTAGTTTCTTATTGTGAACTACTTAATTAAATTCAGATCTTATTTTCAAATTGTTTATAAGTTGTCAGTGAATCGTTAATACCTACGTTCAATTTTACCCAATACCGTAAGTGATAGGAGGTTCAGAGGCTAAAGACTTTGCACACCTTGAAATAAAATTCAGGTCCTCAATATTCTCAGTATTTACCAAACTAACCTAGTAAATTAGGACTTGCCACAGTTCCAAGGCTTGTCATTCCAATATTTAAGCTTTTTAATGCTCCGTGTTGCGAGCGTCTCATTTCTGCATTGTGCAAATATTTTTCTTTACAATTTTCAGCATCTTTACCATTAAATTTTCTTCCAAGATTGCAGAGATAAGCAGCTAAATAATTTAAACAAATAGTTCCATAGGCATTTCTTTCATCTTCATCAATAAAATTGTTATCAATAAAATTAAAAAGTTTTTTCAAAATTAGTTGAATTAATTCATCAAAATCTTTAATTAATGGCTTAGAATTTCCTTTATATGCTTCCTTCATTTTTTCCCATTTATTGTTGTTACTATTACTCTTTTCGAGACGTTTTATACCAACAAATATTGATAATGCATGTTTAACTTTATTATATTCCAAAAGTTTTTCAATATCAATTAATTCATCTGTTTCAACCAGGAATGGACCTAAAATTTGTTTTATTTTAAATATTATTTTGATACTTATTACTAGAGACCGGATTTTATTGTAGCAAAATGAATTTTTTGCAAACACACTATGTATATCGAGAGAAGCCCAAATATGACATTACTTTTTCAATATTATGATTCTGAACAAAGTTACATTTCAATATATTTCAATATTTTGCAAATTTTCGCGTTATTTCAATATTTGGCACTTTTTTCAAATTATTTCATATTTTGCATATTTTTACCAAAATTTAGCGATTTTTAATAAATTTTAGGAAAAAGGTGAAGAAATGTAGCTGCTTTACACACAAAATTCTCAAAATTTCACGCTGCGGCTCTGAAAAAGTGTGATTCTGGCTATTACCCGCCACTGTGGCGTTGTTTAACTGCAACTTATTCCCTAGAATGGCGTCCAGCCCTTATTATTTGACCCACTCAAAATGTCCCATTGGACAAAACCCCCCAAAATGTCCTCTTCATTTGGTCAATTTCATAATGTTAAAGAGAGTAAATATACTCAATTCGTCTACCTACCAAAGGCTCGCCCTTTGTGTTACAAAGGCTCAACCTTCCAAATATTCTTCTATACATATTATAGGATTTTTTTCTTAAACTCCAAATGGTCTAAAAAACGGTCCATGAAACGGTCCAAACGGTCTTAAACTCCAAACGTCTGAAATCATTTTTAGCGATTAGACAACAATTTCTTCCTATTTTGCAACCTCGATTTCGCTATCCGACAACATTGCTCATCAATATTCATTAATGTAAATAAATTATTTTAAAGAAGATAATTATCAATCCCTCACTATATAAAGAAGTAAACCCTACTAATGACAACATCATTCTCTAATTTCCACTTGAGACAACAAAATTCTGGAAATGCTCCCTAATGCGACCGATCCCTCAGCTTTCTTTGGCCAAGGGAAAGGGAACAGTAAGGAGCAACTTCGACAATCAATTGTTGGCCGTCCCATTCTTTGACCGGGTGATCCTGATCCGGACACAAGAACATTATAACTTTATCATTTCGCGATTTAATTGATTCACAGATTTTCACATTCATTTTAGTTCGCATATTCATGTTTTTAAATTGGTTTAATTACCCAAATTTGAGGTGTTAAAATAAAATATCTATATTCAAATTATTATCCTCGTTAATTTTTATTCTATCTGCAACATTTATTTACGTTTCCGATAATATAACAAAAAATTAGAGTGGATATCATTTCCGGACACACTGTATATCCGCGTGTATCCGGATTTTATCTATTTAAATGAGCAGGTCCCCTATTAATCATAATATTACCGTTATACTTCTCAGTCAAATTAATTTCATTTTCATAATTTAAAATCCACGGTTTTACTTGTATTCCTTTCCATTTTTCATTATTTTCAAACCCCAAATGTTTTTTTATTTTTTCAACAAATTCAAAAAGTATTTGAATTTCCCAATTAACATAATCATCTTCAAATTTATTTGAACTACTTTCTTTTTTCTCTTCTTTTACTTCAATAATTTCATCTAAATCTTCCTCTTCTTTTTCTTCTTCAACTTTTCCCTTTCCTTTTCCATCAAAATAATTTAAACTGTTTTTATTTAATTTATTTTCCGATTCTTTCATAAAATAATTTTTCAAATTTTCATTTTTTAATGGCTCTTCAAAATATTGAACAAGAACAGAAAACAAAGAAAGATCTGCTCTAGTTATTTTATCACCAAAAAGAAATCCTTTATTTTGAATTAATCTTTCAGAGATTATTTTAAATTTTTGTTCAAGTAAATTTGGAGATTGCTGGCTTGATTGAGTGTTTCTTTGGTCAAACTTTATTTTATCCAAATATTTTTTTAACTAAAAATTTATTAAATTATATAAGACAATTATTTTAGATTCATATAATAAGGAAAGGGTAGGATCGGTTTTGGTGTGTTAAATTAATTTTGTCAGGACAGTGAATCTCGACAGGCGGTTAGAAATACTCATAGGTATGTAGGTTTAGGATTTATATGGACTAAAAATCGCAAAATATAGACTGAAATGTGACTAAATACTAAAATATATGTATGCAAATGTGAAATTTTTTTGATGGAAATTTTTAACAGAAAATTTTTTTTCATAATTAAAAATGTTTTTTAATTTTAGAAAAATTCCAACGCGAAAACTAATTTATTTATTAAATTATCTAACCTTAAATTTTAAACTTTTTTCTCCATCGCCAATAAAATAATTATTCAAAATTCCATCTATATATTCATTTATCCATTTATTTAATCTTTGCCAATCATCCAACCCTAGTGAATGTGAACGAGAATCCAAAAATGGGGTAATATATTTTTTAATAAAAATTTTAATTTCTCTTTCATCTTCGTCACTAATTCTATCCCCAATATTTAATTTAAAATAATCTAACCAAAAATTTCTTCCAATTATTATTATATAACGATAATTTTCTGTAAAAATTGTTATTTGTTTGTCATCCCAAAATTGAGGCAAAAAGCTAATTAATTGTTCTCTAATCCCTTTATCTGAGATTAAAAATTCTAATCCACTTTTTCCTTTGATTTTTGTTAAACGGTCATTCATTAAAGTACTTAAATTTATTTATTTACTTATTTATTTAAACTGATACATATATTTGAAAGTTTAAGTAGTGGTTCTTTTATTCTGAGAGCAAATACATTAGACTTAATATATTTTTTATTTATTTTATTCTCCATATGAGAATAGGCCACAATAATAAGGGTTGGTAAGTGAGATTTGTATGTTTGAGATATATGAGAAATCGTATGTTCAAATCCGAGAATGAAAAATAAAAATAGAATAAGAAACGAGATTTTGATTGAAAAGTCAGGAGGAAACATTTTATATAAAATGCTTATTTGATTACGCGAATGCAGTAATAACTTTTTTGAAATAAATTATCCGTCACGATTTTAATTTTTAATTTAATTAATTTATATTTAAAAAACAAACGGAATAAGTATTTCCTCAATAATTTCATTAATTTCAATTTCTTTCTCATTCTTTCCCAATTTCTGTCCCAAATGATTTAAATTATTCATTATATTTTCTGACCCCTCAATGTAAATTCCATTAAATTGAACAAAAGGAACAGTTCCAAATTTTGGAGATCCCAGCAGAAAATGATTATTAATTCTCTAAACATTAATTTAATCTTAAATTTAATTTTTAAAATTTACATAAAATTGAATATTTTTAATTTTCAGCCAACTTTCAATTAATAAACATTTAATTGAGAAATTAGGTAATAATTCAATTCTTGGGTATTGAATTAAATATACAACATTTACTTTCCAATTTTCAACCAAAAGTTTATCCTCCTTCAAAGGTAATTTGAAAAGACCTTTAAATATTTAATTATTGTGGTTATTAATTTTTTAATTAAATTTTATTTTAACAATTTCTTAAAATTATTATAAAATATTTTTCCGTTTTTATTTATTTTAAAGATACCTATATTTAATGTTTTATTAAATTAATTTATTACTCAAAATTTAATTACTCACCGAGAATTCCACACTGGAATGTTAAAAATATTGAAAGAAAATATGTAAATGATTTCATGAAAAATTCAAAAAAATTTTTTAATTTTTTAAATATTTAATATTTTAATTATTTTATTAAAGTTAATTTAGACAAAAAAAATTTTTTTTTAATTTACAAGACCCAATTTTGAGTTTTAATGAATAAAATAAGCACTTTTCTATCCCTTTTTAAATTAAATATTTTTAAAAGTGCATTATTTGCTTAAATTATTTTATGAAATTCTTATTTAAATTTCCCGACATTTTAAATATTATCAATAAAATTTAAAGGAAATTTGACAAAAATAAATTTTCTTTTTGTCAAATAAATAAATGCACTTTTTATATTAAAAGTGCATATTTTTGTATTTATTTTCCGGAAAAGAATTTATTTTAGAGGAAGTACTTTTTGACGTATATTTTTTATGAAATAAATAATTTCAAAATTAAATTATAAAATAACATATTATGTTGAAATAAATTTATTTTAAATTAAAGTAGTTGCAATAGTGTTCGTTGTTCTAATACCTACCAATACTGGTAGTACCGAAAAGTACTGTTATTGAAAATACCTACGAAAAATTATCGTAGTACTTCGGTACTCCGGTAATTACAATAAAATGTATGCAAAAATACAATTTTTTAAGTATTTTTAACGACTAAATTTTATCCAGATTATGTTAATAGATGGTCTCCTTCAAACACTTAATCTAGCCATGAGAATTAACCTAATGAAATAAATTTAATTTTAAATTATTTGATCTCTCCCTCCACCCTAAAAACGAATCTTCTGGATATATTTACAATTGCTTTAATCTTTTTTATCCAACAATTGAAAATAAAGTTTAATTATAGATATTAATATTTAAAATTTTCTGTCAAAACACGCATATTATATTTTTAAAATATTCCGCCACTCACTTTTTTCTAATCTTTGACTAATCATCTAAATTTTGGGCTGACAAAGTTTATTCAGACTTTTAATTATTCTTAAAGAATATTTGTTTCTTCTTTGTTTATTAAATTTTCTTAATGAATTTTTTATCAAGTAAATTTTTTTAGTTAGCATTTTGAAGTTTTAAATTTAAAATAAAGTTTCTTATTAATTAAAAAAAATTATCTTAATTCTTTCTTAAATTTCAACATTTTTTCTTTTTTTTGCTACTAAATAAACCCGAATTTATTTCAATAGTTCACTATTTTTTGCCACTTTTAGCCAATATGTATTTTATGGCCATATTTTGTATTCTCTCTCTCTGCCCTCTAGTAATAACTAATGTGTCCGGTTACTTTTGGTCACTTTGTATTGAAAACAAATATATTTAAAACTAAAGTAATAAATAAATTAATTAATTTTTGTTATATTATAACTGAAATCAATAGTTTATTTTATTCTTATTTCAACAATATGTAAATAATTAAAACACTCCGATTCAAACAATAAATTTTCCTAGAAAAAGCGGAAATTCTCTTCATTCGAGAAAGTAAACATTTTCTCTCTCATTTATAGTTAAATGTAGTGTTATTCACGGTACGGTATTACCGCGGTATTTTTCGGTAATACCGCGGTATTTTTACCGAAATACCGATACCGATACCGAACAATTTTTTAAAAATCGGTATTTTTTCGGTATCGGTATTTTACCGAAATACCGATACCGCCTCAATCAAAATACCGCGGTATTTTTCGGTATTTCGGTATTTTCCAGGTAGACTAAAAAGTGAGTTTTTTCGCCTACGGCCTTCCGAAATTTTCAAAATTTTCGCCTGCGGCGCTGAAAAAATAAGAAAGTTGGCTTCCAATTCTAAAATTGTGGCTTCCGGCGGTGAAAAATGGAAGAAATCTGGCTTCAAGGCCTTCAAAATTTTTCAAAATTTGCGCCTGCGGCGCAAAAAATGAAGAAATCTGACTTAAGGACATACTAAATTCTCAAAATTTTTGAAAAACTTTTATCCATTCAAATCTACCTTTATCCATGCTTATCTTCCGATATACTCCATGCAATAGTCATATCAGGGATAGAAGGAATATCGAGAGATTCAATCCTCCTACCATCCTATATAACCTGATATCTATTCAAATCTTTTCAATTGGATATAATGGATTTAGAGGGATATCGATGGATTAATCACTAGGTCCCTTGATAATATCTCACTATATTTGCGCCGCAGTACTTTATCCTCTTTTGGTTCTTGTTGTTTGTTCAACGTTATCTTTCTGCGCAAGCAACGTCAGTAGAAAGTGAAAGGATTTTTTCCGTAGCAAGAGACGTCTTTGAATACAGGCTATCACTTTTGTGTCCAGTAAATGCAGAAATGTTAATTTTTCTGAACCAAACACTTCCATTGATTCATTATAAATAGTAAATTCATTATTTATTCACTATTTATAAACTTATTTCACATTTATTGTATTAAATTTGCTCATTTGGTAAATTTTCAAAAAATACCGAAATACCGCGGTAATACCGAATATTTTTCGTCGGTATTTTTCGGTATCGGTATTTTACCGAAATACCGATACCGATACCGCCTCAATCAAAAATACCGCGGTATTTGCGGTATCGGTATTTTACCGAAAATACCGATACCGATACCGAAAAAACGCGTTTGAATAACACTAGTTAAATGTTTTATGCAAAAAATTTTTATAAATAGAATCATAATCTTGCGGCCAAAAGATTTCATCTTTTTAAAAAATTAGAGGAACAAGATCAAAACTGTTAGAATTGTTTACTTCGAAAAATTCATGTTATTTGGCTAAACGACACTTGCGGACTCGGACATGAGGATCGACAATTGCGGATCCGAAACGAATAAAAAATAAAATTAAAAAAATATACTTATAATATGTACTACTTTATTAATATCCCAAAATAAATTACTATAGCTAATTTAAGAATATTTCTCATTATTCATCACAGATAGTCAAATTAAATTGTTTATTATTCACTATTTCCTGTAATTAAATGTCTAATTTGGTGAACTTTTCTAAATTTTTTAATTGAGCCTTATTTCCTGTAAAAGCAAAATTCGTAGATCTGATTTATATTCATTACATTTTGCAGTTCAGTGAATAAATATCTTCATTAAATGTTTTCTTGTTTAGTGTGAATTCATATTGATAATAGATGAATTTTATAGGGAAACAATCGGCAAACATATGTTCGGCAGCTAAAAATGCAAAATTGTTTAAAAAAATTTTATACCAGCATCATTTAAAAGATAAGAAATTGCTTCGGCTAACACTGATAAACCGACACCTTCAAAAAGCACGATTGGTGTACTTCCTTTCACCCCAGGAGTGTTTAATTTTGTTTTAATGTTGATCATTGATAAGCGACCTCTTGCATTATTATTATTAAACGTTGAATTCAAAACATTCCTCATTCAAAACATTCCCTCAAAGCATACTTTTCTTTTGACTTTAATCTTCCTTTCATTTATTTTAAATAATAATTAATTTTCTTATTTGTTTTACAACTTCTCATCTAATTTTCTTCCGGTTATTCCTTAACCATATAAATAATTATTTGTTTTTTACCTTTTAAGCTTTCTTAATCAAACTTGTTCCCAACCTAAACCAAACCTTAATTAAAAATAAACTTTATTGAATTGTGTATATTTATTATTGAATAATTATTATTCTCAAATTCGAGTATTTTAAGCTAGAAAGAATCTAATTTAAAAAATATTTAATATAAAAATTTTAATCCATTTTTCTCATTAAATTTAGCTTCATTCTTTACAGGACGTGTCCAAGATGTAAATTGCCTTCCCATAACAGAATAATAATATTCAAGAGTAAAATTACTATTACAATTATTTTCTTCACAACAATCTGTGCAACTTACCTTTTTAATTTTAAATTAAATTTTAAATTTAACTTGAAAAAAGAAAACTTGGTCTTGTCCATAACCAGTTGATTCACAATTTCTCGAACATTCCTCAGCACATTGACGATTAATTGAAGTAAACGATTTTTGAATTGTTATTATTGTTGTCTTAAAAAATGGAAATTTTTTTGATAGACTTGTT